CCCCGAAAAAAAAAAAAAAAAAAAAGAATGTGCATACACAAACAAAAAAATTTCAATTAGGTAAGAAGTGACAAATAGAGAACTGTGCTAACATGACCCTTCCTAAAGGGGCCTACCTCTTAAGAGTTTGAAGATATTACTCTATGTCTCATTTCTGGAAGGACCGAGGGGAGAACTTCGGCGCAATTAATCTTTCAGTGACTCCCTGTTTTGTTTTGTTTTGTTTTTCCTGTCTTAGTCTACTCTTTATCAAGCCTCCGTGGAAAAAGCGATAGTCAAAGTAATAGTAACGCAAAGCCCTGGAAAAGGTAGCGATAACCCCTAACCCTAAGAAGCCTCCGCGCCTGAGCCGAGCAGCCCAGGATATGATACGCTAGAAATTTAAGTATGAGCTCCCGGGGACCCGTACGTCAATCTTTGGATCATGCACCGGAAGTGACCTCAGGCTGTGGCTTCCTCTCCCGCAGAGCAAACGCCGTGGCTCCTCGCTGTATTCAGTAAACCACTGGGAGTCCGAGGGCACAGAGGCCGCGCGCCAGCCTCCCACGATGGGGAAGTTTGTGGTGGTGGGAGGCGGCATCGCGGGTGTCACGTGTGCGGAGCAGGTAAGGTGACCGGGCAGGCGGCTCCGCCGCTTCCCCGACCCCCCGGGACGGAAGCTCTGAGGGTCCTCCCAAGACCCTTCTCCCGCCGCGCTTCCGGTCCCGTTTGGCCACGCCCCGTTACCCCGCCCTCTCTGCTCTCCGCTCCTGGGAGTTGTTTGGTGGCTGTGGACAGAGTCCCTGGTGCTTGAAGAGGCCACGTTGCTGGCACAGAAACTGAGGGAAACATTAGCAAGGAAACCAAAGCGGACGTGTCCAGGGTCTGGTCCTAATAACGCCAGAATGGACAAGAGGGCTTTGAATTTGAACAGAAATTCTGCGCGCTTTTTAAATTGCTTTAGTTGATTGAATTTCCAGTTAAGTGCCAAAACCGTAGTGCAGTGTAACTAGTTAATAAAGAAACTCTTACATAAATTCCAATACTTTGAACTCCCAGGATAAAAGAGACTTCATTTTTACCAGTATCGGTAACAGAATCAGCAAATTATTAACTACAACTAGGAAATGCTTTTCTGATAATAATGAATAGCTGGACCATTTATATTTATATACCTGTATACACCCCCCCATGAGTATTTTGCCGATATAAACAAGCAATTGCTAGTCTTAAGGAGTAGTGAAAGAATTTTTTTTTTAATTTTAATCTTCAGATGTATGTTCTCTGTCAAGTAAACACCTATAAACCAGGCGAGGTCCTAAGGGCTGAGTACTGTAGTCATATCTAAAGAGAGTGTGTTCTATACCAGGGATTCACGTTCAAGTAGAGGAGATATGAATAAATCCTCTCATTTGTGTGTTAACTATTAATCTTGGGAGTGCCTGTGGAATTGGGTGGGGAGTGAATTTCAAGTATATTTTTATCTCAGCATCAAAGGATGAGAAGAATAGGAAGGCATTCCACAGGGAGGCAGCTGTATACTCTCCAGTGGAAAAGCACAGCATCATCTGGGAGCAGTAAAGCTTAAAGCACAAGATACTCCTGAGAATTTACTGAGATTTAGTCAGCAAGAGTAGGTAGAGACCAGATCATAAAGAGTCTTTTATATATTGGAAGAATTTACAAGTAGTCTCATGATGTTTAAGCAGTGGATTAAAGTGATCCAGTGAAATGTTTTGAAAGATGATTAGTTATAATGTGTTTGGGATAGTGGCAATTGGTTAATTTTGCTTCTGAGATTGGGAGGCCAATTTGAAGGTGATTTCAGGAATATAAAAAAAGCTTTGTGAACCTGACCAAGTAATGGAAATAGAAGGGAGATAAATTGCAAAACATACAAAGGAAAGAAAGATGGATAGTTAATAGTGTCAAATATTATAGGGAATTCTGTTAAGATGAGATTAAAGTCATAAATTTTTAAGAGTTTGTAGGTGACTTGAACGTGCTCAGGTTTCAAGGAATACTAGAGTTAGCAACAAGATTCTATTAGGTTGGTAATGTAGGTTAATACTGAGAGTTTGTTTTAATTTCATTCCACCAAAGGCAAATTAAAATATTTTAAAATAAACAGAACTGACTTAACTGTTACTTGGAAAAGTAATTTCTTATTATCTTTATGATAACTTTAAATTGGTGTACAATAATTTAAATAGGATACTTCTTTTTATTACTTTTTGGGAGGCCTTTGTTAATGTCCAGTGTGAATGTATTCATTTTATCAATAAGAGTTTAACATTACTCACCGGAGATCTATAGATATGAACAAGACCCCAAATGATACAGACTTATTTGAGAGACAGTGAGTTTTAGATTTCCTAGGTTAATAACATGATGAAAAGTTTATTATCCCCATATCCCCACACTTCATTTTAGAGCAATATCTAATATTATTTGTCATACTTTTCTCTTTTAAAAAATAAGTTGGCTATTAGCTTTCCATCAGAGGATATTCTCCTGGTCACAGCTTCTCCTGTTATTAAAGCAGTTACAAATTTCAAACAGGTAAAAACCTTTTTCTAACTTTCTTAATTTTAATTTGAAAAAAAATTGCACTAGACTGCTTGGTAGTTAGCATAATTGCAGTGCTTTTTATTCCTTTTTTTAAATTGAAAAGTAACTATTGAATATGTTTATGATATACTTGGATAGGTATAAAGTAGAATGGCTAAATCAAGTTTTAAATATATGTTACCTTACTATCATTTTTATGAAAACACTTAAAATTTAGTATTCTTTTAGCAAGTTCTCAATATATACAGTATATCATTATTAATTCCCATTATCAGTAGATTGCTTGAATTTATTCCTCCTGTGTATATAGTGTGTTGTATACTTTGACCAAGATCTCCACAATGCCTCCACACCTCTACTTCTCAATCTCTGGTAACCACCATTTTACTTTTCTCTTCCTATGAATTGAACTTTTACATTTCACATGTAAGTGAAATCCTGTGATATTTGTCTTTTTCCATATGGCTTAGTTCACTTAGCATAATGTCTTCCACATATGACAGGATTTCTCCTTTTTTTTTAAAGCCTGAATAGTATAACATTAATTTTCTTGAAGAACCTACTTTATGTAAGGCTGTACTAATTCACATTCCCACCAACACTCTACTAAGGATCCCTTCTCTCCACATTTTTGTCAACACTTGTTATCTTCTTTCTTTTGGATAATAGCCATCAAAACAGATGTGAGAAGATGTCTTATTTTGGTTTTCATTTTCTTTTTCCTAATGAGTAGCACTTTTGCTAATGTTGAGCACATTCTTATATTTCTGTTGGCAATTTTTATGTCTTTGGAGAAATGTCTAGACAAGTCCTTTGCCCATTTTTAAATTGGATTATTTTATTTTTTTAATATTGAGTTGATTTGATTCCTAATAAATTTGTGATGTTAATACCTTATCGCATACATAGACTGCATATATTTTTGCCACTCTGAGTTCTTTCTTCACCCTATTACAGTAATTGTTTCCTTTGCTGTGGAAAAACTTTTTAGGTTAATATAATTCTGTTTAATTTTGGTTTTGTTATCTGTGCTTTTGGGATCACATCCAGAAAAATTTTTCCCAGGCCAATATCATGGGGATGTTCCACTGTGTTTTCATCTGTTAGTTTTATAGATTCAAGCTTTACTTTTTAAGCCTTTAATACACTTTAATTTGATTTTTGTTAACATGATGTGAAATGGGGATCTAATTTCATTCTTCATGTGGATATCTCGTTTCCCCAGCACCATTTACTGGAAAAAATTATTTTCCTTTCTCTATGTGCATTATTGGCAAGTATATTGAAAACCATTTGATCATAAATTTGTGGATTTATTTCTGCCCTCCATTTTATTCCAATGGTCTATATGTCTGTTTTTATGCCAGTACTGTCCTGTTATGATTACTATGCTTTTATGATTTATCTTCTAATAAGGTAGTCTCATGTCTCTGGCTTTGTTCTGTTTGCTCATGATTGTTCTAGCCATCCTGGATATTTTGTGGTTGCACACAAATTTTAGGATTATTTTTGGATAAAATATTATTGGAATTTTATGAGGGATTCCATTGGAACTATAGATTGCTTTGGGTAGCATGGGCATCTTAACAATATTCATTCTTTTAATAGATGAGCAGAGCTGGGTGTGGTGGTGCACACTTGTAATCCCAGCACGGGAGGCTGA